CCGACGCCTAGACACGCAAACAAAAACCACCGAATTTTTTTATCATGCCCTACTGTTATCATCCTATATTCGGATAACGATTATATCGAAAATAGCTGAGGAATGTTCTTATCTCAAATTTATCTTGTCATTCTAAAGAAATGTTTAACAGTTCTGAAATCAACAGAAATCAACATTTGAAAGACGAAGGAAATCATTTTTTCTCTAACATAACGAGAATGTTCTATGCCCAGTAAATATGCATTGCCACGCAACAGAAAGTTTTTGTTTGCTTGTCTAGGCGTCGGAATATCATGAAATTTAATAATTACTTATTGAATGAAACACCCAACTCGAAATGTTGAATTAACAGCGTTTGTGAAAAACAAGAAAGTCTCTTATTAACCGCTGTTTTTTTATATCGATAAATAATTTAACGTGCATATTAATCAATTACGTGTCAAAGTCAATCACATGCAGCATCAAAATTTTCGATCACTTAATCGAGAACGTGTGGAAGAACTGACTGATCAAAATTCGAGTTCTCTTTAGTCAACTTTTATTAAGCCCAACCCCGATTCCGGTAGGCTTAACAACAGTCATCTTCATTTTCTTGCTTTTCTTACTTATGAACAGGTCTTTGGAATAGAAGGACGTTTCTCGCAAAAAATTTGGTAAAGTCAAACCGCACACTATATTCGGTTCAAACAGGAAACCGACTGCGAACTTGAGCGATCATAGTCGGGCGACCATGCAGATCTATAATCAAAATTCGAGTTAAAGAGCTTTTATTTTTTTGTTTTCAAATGGTATTTTTGTTATAAATAACTCACGTTCTTGTATCATGACAATTGAAGTATAATAGTTTAAAACACAGAATTTTGTTAATAAATGAACTGATGAGTTTAAAAAGGTATTGAAGGATAACCGTAAAAGATACCCTTGATGGCCGTAATTTTGGTAGTCCATCTACCAATTTCAGTTTCCATCGAATTCATTCTATGACATATAGTAGGCGTAGTATTAACTATTGCACTTGCACAACGATTAAGGGGACACATCGTTGATCCTCATATACGTTTTGGCGATGAAATAGCTATTTTAACATAGATCATTTGTTAGACCGAAGAGCTCTGGAACGTGAGTATTTCGATGGAAGAACACAAGAAAAGCACAAGTATCTCAAAATTAATTAGAAAATATTACATTTTGTAGAGAATCTTTTCTTATCATTTTTGGTAACAAGAAGTCTTACTAATAACAGTATTGCAGCCAGCAGAGAGAGTATACGTTTACAAATCCTATATTTACTTCCATTTGTGTGACGAGCCGAACATACATACTTAGGTATGCACCAGGTTCTGTTAACGCAAGATGTAGATTCGTCTGTGCTTTTTTCTGATTTTAGCGGTTTTAGTTTTTTAATTGTCGATTAACCGAAACCGGTACAGATAAAATTAGTAAATAGATGTTATGTGCTAACTCTTTATATCATTTTAAAATCTGAAAGAAAACTGTTTGGGATTTTTTCGGTGTTGGTTTAAACCGAATATCGGTTCGGTGCATACCTGCCAGAGCTCCGTATGGACTCTGGACTCAAATGTTTTGGATTTCATGGACTCGGACTGGACTGGACTCAAACTTTGAAAACCATGGACTGAACTGGACTCGGAAAAAATTTGGATGGATTTGAATCGAGGAAAAATCGGTAAAAGACAAGGTGTTTTTGTTTTGTTAAAGGCGATTCTATATAGCGTATTGTTTCGTCTTTCTAGAATAGTACTGATGTATTTGCTCTCGAACAGATTTTACCACTTTTTGTGTGTACTAGCCTAAGAAGCACTGTAGTTCTGGTTTTGTTATTAAATATCATGTTGTATGGACATCGTTTAACGTTAGTGAATGAGTGCGTGAAATTAGTGCTCGTGGAGGCGACCTAGGAACAAATGATGTGATAGTGGAAACGAAAGAATGCTGAAGCTGTTTGTAACAATTGACGATGAGGAAACAGAAATTGGCAGCAATAAAATGTTTCTTGGCAATGGTCGTGCTACTAATGGACCGCTCCTACAGCATACAGAAGTTTGCAAAGTCCATTGGACTGTTTACTCAATATACTGGACTAGACTGGACTGCTTTTCTAGAGTCCATGGACTGGACTGGACTTAAAAAGAATGTTCTTCATGGACTCGGACTGGACTGGACTCAAAAATTTGAGTCCATACGGAGCTCTGATACCTACCTATACATACTCACTCCATTTGATAATGTTTTAACGTTCGATTTCGGTTTTATAGTGTTCAAAAGTAACCCGAATAACTTGGATTGATCTTCACAAAGTTGATATTCTTTGATCCAGTGTCTTACAGAAAAGTAAAAATTGTTTTAAATTTCCGGTACGTATTTGAAAACTATGTGTTCAAACTTTACCCGTCAAATGTTGCCCACCGAAGGGGCGTATATAGAACTGATTCAGCCTCAACATCTGGATCAATTGTATCGATTATTTGAATTAAATCGTGACTATCTTCGTCAACACATTCATGGCATTGATTCGATTCAAACTCGAGAAGATCTTCACCAACGATGGGGTACATTGAGGAACAATTCATTTCCTTTGGGAATTTGATTGAATGAAAAACAAATGGTTGGTAGATGCCGTTTGACACGACAGGATGAGTCAAATTGTGCTGATGTTGGATATTGGCTATCGGAATCCCATCAAGGCCAGGGATTGATGACTGCTGCAGTGGCAGCATGCATTAGATTTGCCTTTGAAGAATCGAATGTGGAACGTATTGAAATACATTGCGGCGAAAACAATTTAAAATCTCGAGCTATATCAGAACGACTCGGATTCTTGAATGAAGGGATATCATCAATTCACCCAGTCGTTGAAGTAAACGGACACATGGTTCAATCAATTACTTACTCAAAATGCAATCCATTACAAAAAGTAAAATGAGTACTCTACTATTGTTTTCGAAGTGGGACGTACTCCATTGTGTTTCTTTTATTATAATTTTTGATAGAAGAGAGCGATACAAAGCTGCGATTTTCTTGAACACTCAACGATGATTGTTTTTTCCATTTTGGTGGATCTAGTACCAAAAAACACCCACTTTTTCTTGGTTCATTTTCAGGCAGATTAATCCGTGAGGTATTCCCAAAGAAACTCCTTAGCACTTGACACACTTAGTACCCGAGACACGTTTGAATCAAGTGTCTCTCGTGTCTCTGTTAAGTCTCTACAAAACCCATGCAAAGATATTCCAGAAGAAGAATCGCGTAGTACTACTTAGTGAATAATCCTACAATGATCGGTCCTACGTATTAAAACATAATTGAGAAAGACTGACAACAAAGCCAGGTGATTAATACTGACAGAACTAACGGCGTCGCAGTGCTTTTTTTTCTATTCGATCATCGCAACTCAGAGTGGAACAATGAACTGCTTTGTTTAAATAAGCAGTCGATTGCTTATAACGGTCTATGTTATAGAGAAGTTTTCAAGAGAAACTAAATTTTTCATTCGAATGAATAAACTTTCAACATGCACTTAGACATGACGCATATCAACGTTTTGGGACAAAATTTTATTAGTTCAAAAGAAAAAATTAGTATCACTTGAAAATCCTTTAAGATGCTCATAAGCTATCTACTACAGAAACTCAGATTTCTTGCAAATACTTTTTTAATGTCTGAAATTGCTTTTTTTTAAAATTGAAATGTAATTCATATGAAATTCTATGAAATTTTTTGGCAGTACATTCCATCGTTAAAAAACGAAGAAAAAGGTTGAGATTGTATCGAGAAAACAAAGTGGTTCTTCTAAACCCAAAAGTGGTTCATTTTAATTGGGTCATTCGTCAGTGTCAGTTGACTTGTTCAGATAAAGGCACAACACCTGAGCACACTCGTGTGCTCGCCTTTCGAGCACGACTTAACGCCGCGTGCACTTGTGAGTGCTGTTAGAATGTCCAACTTCTGCGTGAGATAGTGATATAGCATGTCAAATGCGAAACAGCAAGAACTTTTCGTGTGAACACATGATCTATCGCCTGTGTGTTCTTGCATGTTTGATTTACCGCGTATACAGGCAAGTTTTCATAATTTTTCACCACCAACCGTGTCAACGTAGGTGAAATTTTGCGTGTACTGGCGAATGAAAATCCTCGCATGAACATGCGAGAATTTTCCGCGCAAGCACCTTAGAGAAGAAACTTTTGCTTGATCATGCGTGTTTTGGGGCAAAAATTTGTTACGACTTACGAGTATTGTTTTTAATATCTCTGCGTGTTCACGCGCCAAATTTGAAGGTAGGATAAATGTTTTGCATCCACATGCGAGTTTCTTCGAAACATACACGCATTTTCAAGACTTTCGCGTTTGACTGTGAACACTACGTCGAGTTTCAGGGAGGATCTATCTGTGGTCAATGGTGATTTTCTCAGCGCGTCTTTTCTCGGATTACAGTGGAGGTTCACTGATTTAGGATCTGTTTTTCATTCTTTATGAAAATATTACGTTTAGACTAGATCTTATAAGCAAACGAACCTCTGTACACACGAATGCACCAAGTAAATGGTGTTCATTTCATAGTCTGCCAATTGTTGCAGTTGAACAGATATCGTTCGAAAGTGAACATTTCAATCATTATTGTAAACAATATTTTAATAATTGATTGTAAAACATTTCCAAATGCATAACGCTACAAAGACAACCCATTCCAATATTCCAATATTTAACATCGTTTATTAACTTACTGTTCCCGATTGCATAGCATTGTCAACATTTATATTTTCTTTAGAACCGAATACTGATCGAATAGCTAGCAGAGAATCGTCCGGTTTTATTTTTTCTACGCCACCCTTCGTCAAACCGTTAAGAAAATTTCCAATTTGTGATAAGGAGCCGAGACTACCATCAAAATTTGATATGCTACCCAGCCGACTTTGTATCGCTCCAGCAGACTAAAAAAAATGAGTTAGTTTAAGAGTCAAGTGAAACTTTTTCTAGGAAAATCAAAATCATAATCTCGTCTAGGAGGAGTTAAAATTAACACCCTCAAAATTGCAAAAACTTGAAGATTTAGGCTTTAAACTACACATTTCAGTATTTTGAAATGCGAAAAATGTTTATAAATATCAGGAGAGCATATCGACCTGTGATTGTGAGGAGGAAAAACTTCATGTTACCGACAAATAGCCTTAGAGTCTAGTACACACGACGAAAAAAAACCGTAGAAGTTCTATCGCTTTTTCTATTCTTTAAGTTTTACTGGTATTGTTCACGTTTTTATTAGCTTACGATTTCTCTTCAACATTTTACATTCATCTAATCAGACTCAAATGGTGGTTCTAAGTATCCTTCTTAGCTGCGACTACTGCCTTTGTTATGCCAGTCACTACAGTCGTGTCATAAGGGAGAAGATCATGGTTAAGGTTATCGCGCAAGCATATAGTCTAAGTAATTGCGCAAGAATATATTCAAGGTTATGGTGCAAGACTATGGTCAAGGTTATTGCGCAAGATTATTCAAGGTTATAGTGCAAGAATATTCAAGGTTATTGCGTATAGTCTAGTCAAGGAATGCGCAACATTGCGAGTATAAATAGATCGAGTTTATTGTTAAGAGATATCTTTTTTATTTGTAAATAAACGTTAGGTGAGAAAGATCTTAGTTCACCCGGGAACCTAACATTGGTGCACAGCCGGGATTAATACAAGTAAGTGATTTAAGTTTATGGTAGTAACTACAGCACAGCAACAATCACTTGACGATCGAAACCGACAACTATATTTGGAAGAACTGAATCGACCCAGCGATATCGAAATCGAACATACAACCCAAACACAACCGATCGAAGTATTTATTGTTCGTCCACCATTACCATTTGAAATGGCAGAAAAAGCATTAGCATCGCGCGTTAACAAACAATTGGATCAATTACCAACATTCAGTGGAAACTGAACGAAAATGTGACCAAGTGGCTGAAAGATATTACGAACGAATTAAATCTGGCGAAGTTCGAAGATAGCCAAAAATTGGGGGTTATTCAAACATATTTGGTTGATGATACAAGAAAATGGTTCATCAATAATGTGCGAACATTCGATACATGGTCAGAATTCAATGAAGCAATTGAGAAAACGTACTCATCGTCGTTCGCAAAAGAAGTAGCTATTAGTCAAGTCGGTCAACGTCATCAAGGTTTAGATGAGACTGTCATGCACTATTACAACGACATGATGGAATTATTTGATGTTATGGACAATCGACTGAGCGACTCATTGAAGATCAGCTATCTGAAAAATGGATTAAAATTGTCATTGAAGAAGGAAGTGTCAAGGATAAATCCACAAACACCATCTGAGTTCATCAAAGCGGCTCAAGAAGAAGAAAACCTTGATTATTCCATGACCGCATCAACGCACAACATGGAAATTCAAAATAATGCGACAAAAAGAATACCAACCACGACAATGATAAATTCACCACCAATACACCAAAACTATCATTATACGTTCTATGCGTAGCGTCAATTTCAACACGATGGCGAAAATTATTACGCAAGGACGACATCATCGATCAAACAGCAGCGACCATATCAATATTACCAACACCAACCACCACTAAATGAGATGCATCAAGGTGGTGGCAGCTTCTGATCTACTACTGCATTTGCCTATATTCTCATGGCAACTCACGAATTTCAGTTGCTGAAATGAACGCGCTCAAATCGAAATGTTTCCTCAATCACATATTCCATCCTACGGATTTTTTTTCCGACTTGAATCTCACTCTTTTCCTCATCAATTTTCTACTTCACTGTTGTTTTCGCCGTGCAGCTTGCAAAACACTAGTAGTTGCGCATTACCCTCGGTTTTTCTCACTCACAGTCACTGATCGATATGCTCTCGTGATCGACATATGGCGATGATCAGTCTGGCCGGAAGACCTTTTGGAGCATCCGGGAGAATTGCTATAAATCAGTTATCACGATTCTCTCAGAGCTGTAAAACATCTAATTTTGTAGAAAAATGTTTGCTCTACAAAATGCATTTGTTAAA